GATAGATAGATAGATAGTCAGATGATAGATAGATATATAGATAGACTTTAGATAGATAGATAGATAAATAGAAATAGTCAGATGATAGATAGATAGAAATAGTTAGATAGATAGACAGACGATAGATAGATGGATAGAAATAGATAGATAGATAGATAGATAGACAGTCAGATGATAGATAGATAGATAGATAGATAGATAGATAGTAGATAGATAGATAGATAGATAGATAGATAGACTTATAGATAGATAGATAGATAGTCAGATGATAGATAGATGATAGATATATAGATAGATAGATATATAGATAGACAGATAGATAGATAGTTAGATAGTCAGATGATAGATAGATAGATAGATAGATAGATAGATAGATAGATAGATAGACTTATAGATAGATAGATAGATAGATAGTCAGATGATAGATAGATAGATAGTTAGATATATATAGACTTATAGATAGATAGTCAGATGATAGGTAGATAGATAGATAGACTTATAGATAGATAGTCAGATGATAGATAGATAGATAGATAGATAGATAGATAGATAGATAGATAGACTTATAGATAGATAGTCAGATGAATAGTCAGATGATAGATAGATAGATAGTTAGATATATAGTCAGATGATATATAGATATATAGATAGACTTATAGATAGATAGATAGATAGATAGATAGATAGATAGATAGATAGATAGATATATAGTCAGATGATAGATAGATAGATGATAGATAGATAGATAGATAGATAGACTTATAGATAGATAGATAGATAGATAGATAGATAGATAGATAGATAGATTCCTGAGAAAGTGAAATCGAAAGCGAGTGACGACACATTTCATATTTCATATTTCATATTATCCACTGAATGATCATTACGCCTATTATATTAAGATTCTTACAAAAATGTCACTGAAATGAGTATTACCGTGGGCTAAATCAATTATTAAAAAAAACAAAAAAAAATGGAAACGATGGAGGAAGATGCTCCTTTACTTCATCAGCCACTGCGGCATTAGAAGACACACACATCTGCTCATTCAGCTGTTATAGCACAAATGTCAAATATTTTAAAGAGAGGTATAGCCTAAATGTCTCCCACCCCGGACAAACTTTAATAGAATGGCTTTGGCATAATTTTAATTATGTAGGCTAGGCTATGGGTCATTATGGGTCATTAATGTCAAATACTATTTAAAATGTTATTTTGACAATTTGCTCGAAAAAAAAGGAATGACCAATGACAGACAAAACAGATTAATCTGAAATGTAAAATAATTATATGACTTAGCCTATAATATTTCATTGCCTATGTTTGAATTGTCATAATAGAAAGGCTATGAATGAAAATGTAAAGATTCGGTCTGTAGGTCTAATGAAAGCAGTCTGAAAGGTAGCCTACTTCATGGAAATATTCAATAATAAGCCCATTAATTACAATAAGTAGGCTATTCAATTCAAAATAATAACACTAAAAACATTGTGCCATTTGGACCAGTCTGATTTGATCTTTTTACTTCAGAATAAAAAACTAATCTAAAACCATTAATAATCCTAAACAAAAACAATAAACAATAAAAATGAATATTCAACATACATCATACTAATTTCCAGAGAAATAATATAAGATCAAATCTCAAAACGATTTCGACTTACTAAATTTGACAAATGTAATCAAAATTCTAACCTATTTTCCTTCCCGGGAATGCATAATGATATGACGTAGCCTATGCCTTGAGTCGAAAACACACGACAGATAATCTAACTATTACTAATAATAAAGTAAAAGATATACTGTATATATATATAATATCACATTTGGTTAAATTATCAATAAGTGATAGATAGATAGATAGATAGATAGATAGATAGATAGATAGATAGATAGATAGATAGATAGATAGATAGATAGAAAGAAATAGTCAGATGATAGATAGATAGATAGATAGATAGATAGATAGATAGATAGATAGATAGATATATAGATAGATAGATAGTCAGATGATAGATAGATAGATATATAGACAGATAGACAGATAGACAGATAGATAGATAGATAGATAGATAGATAGATAGATAGATAGATAGATAGATAGATAGAAATAAATAGTCAGATGATAGATAGATAGATAGATGGATGGATAGATATATAGATAAACAGACGATAGATAGGTAGAGATAGATAGATAGATAGATAGAAATAGATAGACAGACAATAGAGATAGATAGATGATAGAAATAGATAGATAGACAGATAGATAGATAGAAAGAAATAGTCAGATGATAGATAGATAGATAGATAGATAGATAGATAGATAGATAGATAGATATTGAGCTTCAAAGTTTTAGCAAAAATGATATCTGGAACAATTCTCTTTCATACATCATTCCCAAAATATACACAACTTAAAAAAAAAAAAAAGTAAATGGGTTATCACAGAATAAGAATATAATCTTGTTCTTGTTTACAAATGCTAAAATATAGCATGCCAGAAATGAAGACCTAATGTTTCAAATCCAAATAGTAAAAAGCCTTTGCTCACGCATCTGGAGCAGAGCAGTGGCCTATAGATGCGAGGTCCTTTGTGATTTGCTTGTGTTTGAAGGCTGGGAAGAGCAGTACTGATGATTCGACCAGCACTTTCAAGATTTTAAAGAAAGGACAAAAACACCCATCAAGTTCTGTCTTTGTTTTGTGGCAATTCAATAAAAAGATATGACAGAATTAAGATTCATGAGGAGATCTTTCAGGATTCAGTTGCATTATACGATGAACACTAAAAGGGCTCAATCAATAATATTTATATATAATATATATATATCATTAAGATTGAGTATGTTTCCCCCTAAAGATGTCTCAGTATCACAGACTCTCAGACACCAGTGCTGACAGCGGAGCCTCAGATCACAGCCTGAACGTTTCTGCTGGAGTGATCAGTGAGTATACATTTCACATTGAATTTGAGCAACATCAGTTTTATATCAGCAGCATAAAGCATCAGATCTCCCTTAGAAAACACAGCCTGATGGCAATAGTAGACCAGAGTGGACCAGAGTCAGGGGAGGACTGAAATAATGCATCTAATTTATTATTATTTTTTTATTTTTTATTTAAACATTGCAATATATTTCAACAAATTGCTGATAGCTTACAGGTATGGCAACCTACTTGTATGTTTATGCCTCATTAGACAGTCCAGTGTGGTGGCTACACATTTATGTTGTAATAGAGAATCATAATCTTGTTGTTGTTTGGGATAACAATGCATCATTGCCATAGAAACCAATGCAGATATTCCAGAAAATGAAGTTGTTTAGATCAGTTTCTAATTGGATACACAAATAATCGGATTTGGAGTGACAGTGTGAACAAACAGTTATCTGTCTCTCATTGGCCTTTAAACTGAACACAGAACAAACCCCACAAAATAAATGAAATACGTTATTATACAGGAAAATATATGTAATAGTATTTCATGTAGATTGCATTTAATAGATTACACATTCAAAAAAATATTTTTATTCATTAAAAATTGTATGCATGTTTGCACTGTGTTCATTGCATTTACACAGTTTTGACCAGCAGGTGTTTTGAGCACTTAAAAAAAATCATTTTACAAAGCAATTGGTTCAGTTGATTCAACGTTTGGAAAAGCTTTGTTTCTCTTATCTCTAGTGGTTACACTATTTTTGTAGAAATTATTCTAAATCTTGATTATAGGAGTGCTAAAAGAACATGGATACACCATCGAGGAAGAACTTGGCCGAGGGGCTTCAGGAATAGCGTTTCTGGTGAAAGACACAGATGGAGACCCTTATGTGGTCAAACAGATGAATTCCAGAGATGTAAGCATTTACCAAATCTTACTCAAGTATTTGACCATACAAGTGACAAACTTTTCTTTTCCAATAAGAGTGTCGCTTTTAAATGGAAGTTTATTCCTTCCTTTTAGGGGGAGGAGCTGGATGCAGTCAGAAATGAAGCTGAGATCCTGAAAAATCTGAACTTTGGATATATTGTTACTTATGTGAATTCATTTGAAGGTTTTTTCTTCTTCTTTGTACACTAATTTTCCTTTGTTTCAAATCAAAAAATGTGGTAATAATGTTTCTTAAATATTAAATAGAACTGCTAACGATAACCACGATAGAGATTGAAGAAGAATAGCGCAATTAACTAAAACAAAAACATCAGTAGAGCTGTCAGAAAATGAAGCCATTTTAATACATTATGAGTTAAATTAGTTTCTGACTGGATGTTAATTTATTTAGATAGTGAAGCGGGACGCATTTATATTGTGATGGAGTACTGTGAAGGAGGTGATCTTTCCAAAGTCATGGAAACACATAAAGAAGAACGTTTTTTTGAAGAAAAACAGGTGAGTTTCTTATGCAGACATACATACATACTGTACATTCCATGCTCTATACTTTAAACAATCCTCACAAAACTTTACAAAATTTTAGATTAAAAAACACGATTTAGAATGATACACCCATACAATACAATACCCTTTGGGGACATCACACACACACACACACACACACACACAGTCTGGTCAGCTATCCTTGTGGGGACTCTCCATAGGCGTAATGGTTTTTACACACACACTCTCACACACACACACACACACACACTCTCTCTCTCTCTCTCTCTCTCACACACACACACACTCTCACACACACACTCTCACACGCACACTCACACACACACTCTCTCTCCCTCTCTCATACACACTCACACACGCACACTCTCTCTCTCTCTCTCTCACACACACACACACACACACACACACACAGAGACAGACAGACACTCACACTCACTAACACACACACACATTTTTCCGTGTGTGCAGATCCTTGACTGGCTTGTTCAGATTTGTCTGGCTCTGCAGTATCTCCATGAGAAGAAAATTCTTCACAGAGATATTAAACCTCAGGTATGCACTGATAAAGCTCAATAAATCATATCACAATGTCAAATCTGTAAGACTTCTGAGATTTCTGTTGTCATTGTAGAATATCTTTCTGACTGAAGATGGTTACATCAATCTAGGAGATTTTGGATGCTCAAAAGCATTGGAAAGGTAAACAAAAAACAGTAATGGGAACTAGTGATGGGCTAAAACCAAAAGTCCTGGACATTTATAGGTTTGAGTTTACATTGTTTTTCCTTTGCAGAGCTGATGAATATGCTAATTCAGTTGTGGGTGCAAAGCTCTATGTCAGCCCAGAAGTTTACCAGAAGAAATACAATTCCAAGAGGTAAGCTTTTGGACAACTGAGTGTATATAAAATATTGTTATGTTCAGCATCATAAAATGGTTACAATTTCCTTAAGATCTTTCCGTGAAGGTTGATTATTTTAGTTGTCTAAAAATTTAACAGTTATGTGCTGTACTCTGTAAAAAATGAATCATGGGTGTTGTAATTTTTGTTTAAACAATTAAGGTGATAATTAAAAATAGTGTGTATATTTTATTAAGGAAATTGTGGTTCAGTCTTATATAGAAACTTTTAAGATAATTAGTTCAATTATTTAGAGACACCATTTGGCTGTGATTGTTAGTTCCCAGCATGCTTTGCATGGGGCTGGATATGGAGAGTGAATATTGAAATTACGTGTTGTTTTACGTGTTTTTGAGTGAAGGGAAACATCTCTCAATCTTTATTGTTCAGTTATATTTGATAGTTGCAGTTTTTGGCATTACCACTGCGCAGAAGAGTAGAGCTTATGGTTAGGTTGTGGATAACTGCATATGTTAATACAGTTGCACGTGTTGCATTGTTCAACGAGTCATAGCTTTGTTAATGCCAGCGCAGCAACAAGATTCTTCCTACTTCTGCCATTTTAGCAGCATACAGACATTTAATTCAACAACATAATTCAAAGTCAAATTCAAACTAGTGCTTTCCATCCACTCAAAATCACATACTTTTGAGATTTAAAATATAAAAGTAGAAAGCACATTTCACTAAAAATATTAAATGAATTGTGTCATAGACTAAAAAGATTTTCATTGTCATGCATCGGCTGTTTTAGTGACATATGGTCATTGGGATGGTTGCTCCATGATCTCTGCATGCTTGATGTGTGGGTGAGTATTTATTTTATTTATTTTTTTTCCAAAAAGCACCATATTACTGTCCCATTTTCATTCCAGTGATGATGAAAAAAAAAAGGCAAAAGGGTCAAATAAAACAGTTATTACATAACTCAAAACAGGAAATCTAAACAACAAGCAAACTTAACAAAATAGTGTGCTGTGCACAAAGAGTACAGGACCCTGAACAGATCAAACTGATGAACTAAATACACAGAGAATGCAAAATACAGGACTAGCATGTGTGATGATTGAATCAGTTTCCATGACAACAGATTGTGGCTGGAACTTAGAACAAAGAAGAGACATGTGACTGAATTGACACAAATTAAAAATCCATGAAAACGAATCTAAAGTAGAAAGCACATTTCACTAAAAATATTAAATGAATTGTGTCATAGACTAAATTATTTATTCAGGTAGATTCTGTTAAAGAAATCAAGCCTTTAAAACTACTCAAAATATAATGTGTAGTATTGTTTCTATATATTTTTAAGTAGTAGCACATAACCTTTTTTTACAGTGTACACATACTTATTGATTTTCATTGTCATGCATCGGCTGTTTTAGTGACATATGGTCATTGGGATGGTTGCTCCATGATCTCTGCATGCTTGATGTGTGGGTGAGTATTTATTTTATTTATTTTTTTTCCAAAAAGCACCATATTACTGTCACATTTTCATTCCAGTGATGATGAAAAAAAAAAGGCAAAAGGGTCAAATAAAACAGTTATTACATAACTCAAAACAGGAAATCTAAACAACAAGCAAACTTAACAAAATAGTGTGCTGTGCACAAAGAGTACAGGACCCTGAACAGATCAAACTGATGAACTAAATACACAGAGAATGCAAAATACAGGACTAGCATGTGTGATGATTGAATCAGTTTCCATGACAACAGATTGTGGCTGGAACTTAGAACAAAGAAGAGACATGTGACTGAATTGACACAAATTAAAAATCCATGAAAACGAATCTAAAGAGCGTAACTGTGACAGAACGTCCCTCTATGGGCAGGTGCGGCCTTGTGCTGTAAAATTGCTGAGGAGGTGGTTCCTTAGGTGTACGAAGGACTGGTGAAGGAGGAAGCCAGATTGGAAAGAACCAGGGAGGTGAGAATGGGAGGAGTGGCCAAGTGGTACACCTGGATGCAAGTTCATGGTGGAGTTGACGGAGGGAGAAGCCATGATGGAGTCTTGGCTGATGACATACAGGGAACGACTGATAAGGGGAAAAGCCGTTGACAGTGGAGCCCTAGGCACAGATGGAGAGCTGATGGGACACCAATGGTTTAGGCGACCAAGGCGTAGCCGCAACGACGAATGTTCAAGGTGGAGCCAGAGTGCCTGAGGACTGAGGTGGAGCCGTTGTGACTGGGGACTGAAGTAGTTGGGTGGATAGACAGAGCACAGCGGAAGGCTCTTAAGTTCGTGGCACAGGCAGGGTGACGGCTGTCAATGGTGGAGCCTGAGGGATGAGGGAGCCTGGTGGAGCCGAGGGAGGAAGGAGCCAAGGCGGAGCCAACAGGTCGCTGGAGCGATGGGACCAGCAGTCGAAGGAGGAGCTGGGGGATCCACTTGCTTGGCGACCACAAGACCCGAGGCTCATCCACACAGCAAAGTGTCAGGTGATAAGACAATGGGTTTAAGGGAACCAGCGAAGATGGGGCTGAAGGACTAGGTGAATCTGGATGAGGAGTCGTGAGAGGGAGGCCAGGCATGATTAGTGACTACAACACAGGGTGATGAAACGGGCTTTATGCTGGGTGGGGAGGGTGGGGAGCATCACCTCAGTTTCCCAATTGAACAGCCAGTCCGCACTGTCCCCCTCCACCAAAGCGTGAACGGATGTTGCCAGCTCACACAGTTGGTCAGACTCACTGTGGTGCTTCGGCTCCGAGGCGATGGTCAGTGCTGTCCTCCTCTCAGGCTCTGGCTCATTCATCATGGCAGATGGAAGCTCCCCGTCTGCGGTGGGCTCTGTGGTGTGGTGGGCTTTGAGCCTGCAGTGGCTGCACTAGATGTCATTAATTCAGGGCAGACACACTACAGACACCTCTTTTCAATGTCCCATCCTCATATCAGGTAAGTCCCTTAGTCCCCCATTTGCTCCGATCCAGAACAATGATTTTATGATCTCATCATTGAATGAAGTCTGATAGGCAAGCTGGCAAAAACGAAGCATATAGTCTCCAAATGAATGCTCTTCCCTGTATTGCAGTTGCTTAAGAACATAACTGTGACAAATACATTATACAAATGCAAATTACAAAAATACTACTTGATGGGTCTGTATAGCAGGGTTCCTCAAATCTTGCCCTGAAGGGCCAATGTGCTGCAGAGTTTAGCTCCAACCCTGATCAAACTCACCTACCTGTGATTTTCTAATGATCCTGTAGACATTGATTAGCTTGATCAGGTGTGTTTGATTAAGGTTAGAGCTAAACTCTGCAGGAAAGTGGATCTCGTGGGCCAGATTTGAGGATCTATAAACTCAGAGCTCAGTGCTTTTTCATGGTACACAGCAAAACCCCCAGAGTTAAATAAACACTCTCATGCCTAATTTCACTGGCAACCGTTAAAATGCATAAAACGTTTTCATTTTGTTGTTGTTGTTGTTGTTGAAAACAGTGTTGCGTAAATGGTTAGAGCTAAACTCTGCAGGAAAGTGGATCTCGTGGGCCAGATTTGAGGATCTATAAACTCAGAGCTCAGTGCTTTTTCATGGTACACAGCAAAACCCCCAGAGTTAAATAAACACTCTCATGCCTAATTTCACTGGCAACCGTTAAAATGCATAAAACGTTTTCATTTTGTTGTTGTTGTTGTTGTTGAAAACAGTGTTGCGTAAATGGCCACTGGGTTTTGAGTTGTGTTTTGTACATAGGAGTAATATGTGGGTGGGACGGGTGGGACATGTCCCCACCACTTTTTAAAAGCAGCTGAAAAAATATTTGACCATAAAATAAGTGAATTTGTCAACATCCCATACAAGTTAACTTATACATACGGCATATTTCCTGCTTCTAGGTGACTTTTGAGTGCATCTAGTAAAGGGAATCACACAATGTATATGGTTGCCATGACTATCATGACTATTTCACGCACTGGTTACTTATCTGTCATAAAAGCGCTTGAATATTATATTTCTGCAATAAGTTTAATAATTTGTTGATAATATTTTTTATTTTATAATTTTTTTTCTATGTAATATTTAAAAATTATCCTCTGTATGGGTGTCATGCCATAAAATATTTTTAATATGACTGACTTTGTATTTAACGTGAATTTAATAAAAACATTGTAAGTCACTAATTATAACACTTTCATTGTACAGAAATACAGCAAAAAACATTTAGTATACACTATCATTAACATTGTCACTGACTTTAGTCTAGCTAGAGTTGAAGCACTCTCAAAAACTCCCATTTTAATCACTGACGCTGTTAACACTGTGAAATGTTCTGTGAAAATCTTACTTACATTCCTACGCACATCTGCACTTTGTTGTTTGTGATGAGAGAATTCGCCAGAGAGCAGAATTCAGAATTCAGAATTCGCAAAACACAGGCGTTTCAGCGATGACTCATCAGAACGCCTCTGATTGGCCATTGCATTCAGAAGCTCAACAGAATCGTGTGTGAAACGCGTCTGGCTCAGCGCCAGCCAAAGCACGGATGCACAATTGAATTCAGCAGTTGGTGATATGCCGTACAGAATCAAATATTCTATATATCCTATTTCTTTGTCTTTTGGGAGCTGCATTCAAAATACACTTGGCTCAAAAATCTGAATGGGCATGACACCTCTGGTCCTGTGTTTGTTCCTTTCTTTGTCAGATCTTGTTATTGTTACAGTGATTGTTCTGTGTATCATGTACCCGTTTGCAATTATATCCAGCTCTTTTCTTTCTTTTACTTTCTGACGCTAACCAGATTCTTATTTTATTTTTTTTTATTCTTTCCTCCACAGGCAGATGTCATGCAGCGTCACATAATTCATGCAGTCAGCATGACAGGAAACCCCCCTCATATCTCAGAGAAATACTCAGTAGAACTGAGAGAATTAATCAGACAGATGCTCAGCCGTGACCCTAAAGACAGGCCTTCAGCTGAAGATATTCTAGCAAAACCATTCCTGGAAGATGCTGTGAACAGAAACAGCAGAACTCCACAGGCACTGCTACAGAGTTTCATTAAGTCTATCAACACCTTTGATAAGGCCTACAACAAGCACTATAAAGACCTTGAGGCCTTAGTTAGTGAGTGGGGAAGAATAACAGATTCAATGGAGTCTGCACATTACAGCGCCACAGCCGGCAGTCTGTCAGGTTCAGTGATTGGAGCAGCTGGAGGAATCACTGCATTAGTTGGTTTAATTTTGGCACCGTTCACTCTCGGTGCATCTCTGATTGTTACTGGTGTCGGTGTTGGAATTGGAGTTGCCGGTGGAGTAACAGGTGCTGCCTCCACCATTACTAATACTGTACAACAAAAATCATTCAGAGAGAGCCTTGAACAAATTCAGCAAAAGTATAAATCTGTAAGCGAACCTATTCTCACACCGCTGAATACACTGAGAAAGGTACTGAGAAAAATCACAAAGTTCAGTTTTTTTTTTGGCACCTCAACTTTTGACAATGTACAAATATCATGCAATTTAGACAAAAGAAATATGTTGTGTGCCACACAACTCATGAATTTAGGTCTGTTGGCAAATGTTAGCAGAATTGCTACTCAGACTGCAAGAGTAGGACGAGTAGTAGCAGAAGCAGTCTCGGGTGTGTTAAGTGGAGTACTAGTCATACTTGATGTCGCCTTCATAGTGATGGATTCTGTAGACATTCACCAGATGAGACAGGGACCAGTAGATGATCCAGAAAAGGTCACATCCAGTGTTCTCAAATCCATTGCAGAGATGAGGAGAACACATAATGAGCTTTGCAATGTCCAGAAGGAAATGCAGAAAACAAGAGAGGAACTAAAAGACTATATAGAATTGGCCAAGGATGACAGGGAAATAGACAATGATTTAAATAGTTTAAACATATAGATATGATTTCAGTCTGAGAATCAGGAAACCTCCTATATTGCTCTGAGACCAGAATTCATGTGTGTAGCATGAGGTTGAGTTTTTGTGATTATATCAAGTTAAGTCACCTTTTGTTTATATAGCGCTTTTTACAATATAGATTTTACAAAACAAAGCAGGTTTAAAATGATAACAGGAAAAACTATGCAACAAAGTTTGAAGAAAAAGTGCCATTGTTTAGCTTGAGTCAGTTCAGTGTTGACTCATGTCCATTGTAAAGATCTTCAATTATTCATTTATTTGATTTAATCTATTCAGTAGCTCTGGAGAAAACAGCGATGTCATAGTCCATTCAGTTCAGTTCTCGTATAATAGTGTCAATGCAGTCAGATCAATAATATAGTTGAATAGTAGGTGTCCACAACTAAACAAGCCAGAGGCGACAGTGGCAAGGAACTCAAACTCCATTAGGTGACAGAATGGAGAGGAAACAAACACTAGATAGATAGATAGATAGAGATAGATAGCATAATGTAACATAAAATAAAATAAAAACTATATAGCAGATACCATATATCCATTATATACGAGTGTTTTCTATTACATAGAGGTGTAGGTTTGTTTATGAATTAGCTTTTATGAATTACTATTTGTTTTAAAAGTACTTATTGGTGTGTGTTTTATAATTGTTTTTAGTGACTTTTGGGTAATTAATACACTTTTCCAAGATAATAATTTCTGTATACTGTGTTATGTTCTGCTTTTGTTTCGTTTTCACTTTGTTTGCTTTCTTTATAAATTAGTTTCATTGGTTACTCATTCACTCTCTAGTTTGTTGCTATGGTTAATCATTGATTATCAGATTCTGTTCACCTTGTTTTTATATCCCTCTGTTTCAGTTTATGGTGGTTGATTCTCAGTAACATCAGTGTTGAGTATGCATTACTATTATCTAGGGATGTGCCGAACGAGGCTTCTGAAGCAGTGAGGCTTTTACAGCAAATTGCATTGGTGCTTTGAAGAGAACTGCACGGGATGGATTTTTCAAAAGTGTGTAGTAGAAGAGCAGGCAAGCTTTGGGGCAAACTATCATGTTATACAATTGTGTCTTTAACGGACTGCTCTGTCACATATTTACACGCACCAGGGCTGGCGCCAAGGAGGGGCATTAACGCCCCCCCCCCCCAAAACGAGTTACGGAAGGACTTGAAAGCACCATTAACCGGTCGGTTGTGCACATCCGCCATATTTGTAGTTTTTTAACACTTTTTATTCAGGTTTGTAGTTCTGAACCAAATCCTTCACCAAAGTGCAGTGGATTGTGGGCAATATTAGCAATTAAGAGTGCACGGATCCACACTTAAAAAATCCACGTGAAATAATAGACCATCCGGGGACTTTTGGTATACTCTTTTTGTTAGATGTTTTGTTCTTTATGATGTCATTGTAAGGTTTATTTGTATATTTAATAAGCATATATGTCATTAGCAAGATGATGGTGCATATGTGTGCAGCGATAGAGTTTCCACATTTCACTGTATTTTGCAAAATACAATGACAATAAAGACTTTCTGTTCTTCATTTTTACTCGCATCATACTTTTTGAGGAAGCACTTTTATTACTTTTGGGAACAGTGTTTGAGCCCGCAAGGTGTTTTAATTTATATTCAGACAACAGTCATTCACACACAGGCTAATTGTTTTTATTAGTAGTTTTTCAAATGAACAATAATACACCACGTTAAAGCTACATACATATAGGCATGGCCGATATAATTATAATATTGCACTAAATGAATATGGGACAGCACAATCGAGGTGCTTTGTGTTTGAGCCCGGCGTGACGTGTCAGTGAGGTAACAAAGATTAATTTAGGCCACGTGACAGCCTCATTTCAAGCAATGCTCTGGAACACTATTTCGAAGCACTAGTGTGTCGAAAACTCGAGACATGTGTCGAGACTGGGAGTCAATCTACCTATCCCTAGTGTTATCTCCTATACGGAGTGTCTCGGCTGAGATGTTAAACGAATCGCAATAGAATTGGGGAAGGAGTGTATCACTGACAGGGAAACTAACTTTAGAAAAGTATGTTGTTTTCTTTTCATCTTGACTCTGTATAATGCATATTAAAGTATGGTCCATTAAAGTCATGTCAGATAGTTTGTATTTACGGGTTGAAAGCACATGAACACCACCATAAAGTCGTTATTACGAGTGGGGAAACTCAAAATTTTCTTTAAGCCCAGAGTTTCCGAGTTGGGGGCGTGTCAGTGAGAAACATGGCGGAATCGATGGATGCAACGTTTGTTGTTGACAGTCCATTTTTGTTGAAACTGACAGTTTAGTTGTCCTATAAACTTAAATTGGTCATGTTCTTGTTATATGCAGCAAGTTAATGAAATAAAAAAAAAAAAAAAAAAATATTTCTATAATTTCTGTACCTATTGGTGAGAAAACGTTTGATTTGCCATGTTGCATTCATTAACAGCTTTTTTTTTTATATCTGTATTTTTATAGCGTTTGTTGATGCTGATGTCTGGAACATGACAGAGAGAGAGAGACAGAGAGTGCAAAAGTAAAATATAAATCACACTAATAGGTATTATATATGACAGGATTGTAATATAACAATTAATAACAAGTTTTTGTACGGTACAGCTTAAAGTGGCTTCATAAATTATAAAAAAATAATAAAAACGCAAAACACACCTGATGCAAATTATTTGCTCTTCATTTTCCATAAGAAAATGACACAACCGTGCTGTATTTTCTGGTAATTTATTAAAAGAAGGTACACCGCCATTTTGCCGACGAAAGTGACTTGAACGCACCTGAAGTCGCAATTATGGCTTGTCAACTCGTAAGTACAAACTTCCCAGGAGGAAGAACGCAGCAGTAGTGTTTATAAGCGCAGCGCTGCTTTGTTTACAGCGGTTACTAAGGAAATAGTGATGTCCGGTTCATGAACGAATAATAAAAACGCAAAACACACCTGATGCAAATTATTTGCTCTTCATTTTCCATAAGAAAATGACACAACCGTGCTGTATTTTCTGGTAATTTATTAAAAGAAGGTACACCGCCATCTTGCCGACGAAAGTGACTTGAACGCACCTGAAGTCGCAATTATGGCTTGTCAACTCGTAAGTACAAACTTCCCAGGAGGAAGAACGCAGCAGTAGTGTTTATAAGCGCAGCGCTGCTTTGTTTACAGCGGTTACTAAGGAAATAGTGATGTCCGGTTCATGAACGAATCGTTCTTTTGAAGTGGTTCAATCACCAAATCTGACTGAATTGTTCAAAACAGTTCACATCTCAAGTCAGCAAGTTTCCCACAATTTTCTAAAGTTTCTCACTTTCAGACATGCCTGACAGTCCCTACGACTCTAATGGCGCTTTTCCACTGCATGGTACGGTACGGTTCACTTTTTGGGGGTTTTCCACTGGGTACAGTACCTGGTACCTGGTACTTTTTTTAGTACCACCTCGGTTGGGGCTCCAAGCGTAAACTCTGCTGATCACGGATTGGCCGGAGATAATTGTCACTACCTGCGTCACTGAACTTGCGACACAAACACAAAAGAACAGCTAGATTTAAATCAGCACAGCCGGCGAAGGATCGAACGCAACTGTTTTGAACGAGCGCACCTTTTTTTAACAACCAAAAAAGTTTTGTTGTATGTTGTGGAAGAACAGACGTTCCTCTCGTTGATAGCAGAGAAGCGGATCCAGCGAGAGCTTGATGGGGCGACACGGAATGAAAAAGTTTTTTTTAGGAGTCGTGGTAGTAGAGGCGGCACAACTATAACGACATGTGAATAATCCCGTCCACTCTAAAGTGGTACTGAACTGCAGTGGAAACGCAAACCGTGCCGAGCTGAACCATGCCGTGCTGAGCTGTACCGAGCCGAGTGGAAAAGCACAATAAATCAACCAAAATCCCGGAGTATATATCACTCCTGTAACTGAGAGAACGATGAGCATGAGCAGCTGATATACTGAGCATGTACTACCGAATGAACGGTACTGCTACAGAGGTTCTCAAGTCAACAGTTCTCGAATCACCAGTACACTGAACCGAGAACCGTTTCTTTCGGACATACTGAGAACCGTTTCTTTCGGACACGTTCAACATTTGAGAATTGATGAGCTGGAGATACTGAGCATGCGTGAAACTACCACTGTCTAGCTGTGCTAATATTAATTTATGAGCGCGAGTGAGGGGGCGAATTTGACGAAATGAAGTTTATTTAATAACAGATAAAACTGGAACTGGACTTCTCATCACTACTATGTAATCAGAGTGTGGCTGTGTTCGAAATGACATACTAACATACTGCCCAGTATACAGTGTATACTGCTTACTGTTTTTTTTAAGGATAGTGTGTGAAACAGTATACAATAAGCAACAAAATGTTTCAAAGTAGTATGCTACAGTGTTATTGTAACCAACTTGACAAATGTATATCAATGAAAAGGAGGAAAAATATCTACTGAGCTCTCCAAATATGTATAAATGTCTATTTATAATGGTATTTGGAGTCTTGGTTTTGAGGTCTCACACTAAACACATAAAAAAAATTGTGTTTATGAAATGTGTCTGCACTTGTATACAATTCAGATCTTAATTGTGTCACTAACTGCTTGAATAAGGCACATACACAGTGATCAGTTTTAACCTATATTTATTTAATATATTCACTGCTTGTTTTCTGTTTATTTTCACTTTAACTGCATTGCAATATGCTTGCAAACATTTTCACATATTCAAAAAAAAAAAAAATTATATATATATATATATACACACCGAGAATTTGTTTGACTCAGTTCAGTAAATATGAATGTATGAATGCCTACAGAGTCCTCGCCGGAATGAACGATGAAGACAATTTTCCTTCCTTATGAACAGGCCCTCTGCTTGCGCAATCATTTACATTGTCATTTTGTAGACGCTTTTATCCAAAGCAACTTACAATTTGGAATACACAATCCACCCGTAGTGAAATCCAGCGTGTCTCTTCCCTCCTGGCACGAATCCAAAACGACCGCGATGTGAAGAAACAATCCGACCTCATCGAACACACACTGCATTCTCCAATCTCACGAGCTAATGCAATAACACAGTTCAGGCATATATTTAAAGAAAGAATCACGAGGATGGATACAATTTTGCAACAGCCAAGATACGGCTCGCATCTCTCACCACGAGCTGGCATGCAACAACCATCGACGCACTTCTCCAGTAGTCAATTCTGTTTCACACACACACACACACAAACACATACATACACTGAACAAAATTATAAACGCAACACTTTTGTTTTTGCCCCCATTTTTCATGAGCTGAACTCAAAGATCTAAGACTTTTTCTATGTACACAAAAGGCCTTTTTCTCTCAAATATTGTTCACAAATCGGTGTTAGTGAGCACTTCTCCTTTGCCGAGATAATCCATCAGTTTACCAGTTCTTGCATGGCCAGCATA